TAAATAATATTAATAAATAGTTTATATAGCATGTAAAACTGAACAGAGAAATCAAATTCAATAAAGACGAATATACTGTATTCAAAACAATGCTGCAATCTTGTTTTTCTTGACGATTCCATCCAGCATCGACTCAGGATTCACTCGTATTTTTTTTCTGAACGCATTTCTGTGAAGTTGGCGTGAATTATTTTTGAGTTGGGGAATTCTCGTCTTTGGCAGAAATGCGTTATCATAGTTTTGCTCCTGCGTTGTTAGCATAGCGCCATCTAACTGATCTGAGAGCAACTTATAAATAGGTTGGAGTATTGGGAAGCTAAATATGCCCGCGCCATCTACATCTCATTTCTGCATTGCGTTTACAGCGCCATCTAGCGGCGCGTAAGCCAACTAAATAGTAGACTTGGTTGCTCTGAATCAAAAATGTCTGCTTAAAATGAGTGATTTTTGTGTCTAGGCAGATATCTTCTGAATCTTTAAAGTAAATACATTTTGCATACAAAAATAATTTAACTGTAATTAGAAAATGATCATATCTTAGCCGTACGTTGTGTATATCCCATGGGAGGCTTCTCAACACGCAATTGAAATTATCCATTAAATGATGAAAACAAATGATTTGTTGACAATATCGGTCAATATGACATTCTCTGCTTTTATTTGCACTCTAATCGTAACATGTTTTAGATTTGTTCAGTTTTCTTGTATGTTATAAGTTGTAATGCCATATATACATATACATATCGGTGAATATATATGCATTTAAATGTATGTATCTCTGTATATGCATAGTATATACACGCAAATTGATCTATTTTGAAAGGCCTTTCATATACAATTCATAATCCTATGGCATTTCAATGTGCACAGTTGCAGCTCGTCAAGCCCGAAATCAGTCAAAAACAATCGGCGCTTCAGCACTTTCGGTTAATAAGTTGTGTTTTTTTTTGGTTTGTTTTGTTTTTTTTTAGTTTTTGTTTTTGCATTTGCTGTTGCTCTTCGAAAAAGTAGAAAAATATTGCTCTAAAAAATACAGGGCAACTCTTTTCTTTCATTGGTATGTAGATATACTACACACTACATATATATATACATATATATATATATATATATATATATATATATATATATATACTTTAGATACTTATATTTTATAATTGTTTGTGTGTTTGTTTCTTGTTGTTGTTGTTGTTTTATTTTGGTACAGGTTTAGACATAAAAACAGGCGCTCGTTGAAACCTTGGAGGGCAACAGATTTACAGATTTTTATGACATATATTTATTCATGTGTCTGTGTGTGTGTCTGTCTGTGTATATATATATATGTATGTAAACAGAGACATTATTATTTTCATGGCCTATGTATAAACTATAAACTATAAACTATAGTATTCTTCTGGTATACGAAGTCAATTGGGTGCGGGGGGTGGGGTTGGTGCGCATAAATGTGTGACTAAAGTCAGTTCAGACGTTCAGACGTGTTACTGCTATTGTTGTGGATACCCTGTAACTGTGTATATTTCGTCCGAACGGGTTGTTTCGGCCTCCAAGCACAAGTTGAGGCGTAACAGCAACGATCGCTTTAAGCTTTAAGCTAACATTTTTAACAAAATAACGACTCTTAAACTATAACGACTCTAGTTGAATGACCTCTGAACAGATTCAAAATGTTGTCGACTAATATGTGCTATGGAAAACAACTTTATAACATGAAAAACACAAAGATACATAAATACATAAATACATACATCAGAGGCACTTTCAGTAAATAACATTTTCATTGCTTTTATCATGAAGTTCAACACGAAACATGACAATTAATTATACCTTTTCTTGAATTTAATAAGCAAATTAAGCATTTTGAGTTGTTTTTTGTATTCTTATAGAATATCTATATATATATATATGTATATATAATTAAAAATAAAAAAAATCAAATTAATTGTTGGCTAGTAAGCGCAATTATTGAAATGTACATTTTGACTAAGTCATTTTTGATTAAAGAAAATTACAAACAAAACGAAAAAGATACTTTTGGCTTTGTTTAATGTTAATGTTTGTAAAAATTCTTAAATATTTATAGATCGATTGGATTGGATTGTATTTTAGCAATGCATACAACACTTTCTACATAACAAAAAAGGGATTCGAAAATGAGATTTAGTTTAAGCATTTAAGCTTGCCCCGTAGAAAATGCGACCCAAAAAGACCCAAAAGGAAACCAGGAAAGAAAAACAAAAATAAGTGAAATGAAATCACATTTTGTGTGTATTTGGTACGCAAAGAAATCATAATCATATATGTTTAATAATAATATTAAATTTTTATAGCAATAATAATAAAAAAAAAAAAACATTAACAAACTGGTTTGCTGATCTTAATAATCGATGATATCATATCATAATAAATCGTACGTCATTATTGTAATAATAGAGGTAAAAGGTAGTGGTGCTTTTGAGGAAGGGGATGGGGTGGATGGTGGATGGTGAGAGGGGTTGAAGTGGGGCATTTCACACACTTTAGGAAGATGCGTGTGTGTGTTCCTTAGCCTAGTCTCGCATTTTAGCTTGCAATTTTGCTCAGTTATCAACTGATGATGTATATAGGCTATAACAATATTTGAAATATACATATATATATATATATATGTATGTATGTGTGTGTGTGTGTGTGTGAAATTTGTTTCTCATACGTGTTGCAACAGGGCGGCGATTGTTTGCATAAAACAGTGAATGGTGCTTTTTTTCTTTTACTTTCTCGTTTGATTTTGTTATAATTAGCACACACATATCAATATATATATATATATATATATATAGATCGATATATATACATATATATATGCATGTGTGTGTGCATGATCTTAAATATACGCTGCTTAGAAATATTTGTTGTGGTTGTTTGTTTGTTTGTTTGTTTGTTTGTTTAAAAAAAGGCGTTCGCATTTGTAAAGCTACTAAAACTCTTCATACAATTCATGTATATATCCATATTTAAACAATCGAAAAGCAAACGTTTAACATTTTAATTATAGTTTTTCTTCTTTGTTAACAACAACTGCTTCTGCTTGTTTCACATTATTATATTTGATTTCTTTTTGTTTTTTGTTTTTTGTTTTGTTTTGCTTTTTATCATGAGCTGTTCATTATTCGTTAAATTACTTTAATGCTTTTTGCTAAAAAGGTACTTGAAGTGTATACACTTAGGGGGCAGGGCGAGTCCATTATTGAATTTAACTATGTATGTGTGTGTGGTGTGTGTGTGTGTGTGTGTGTAAATTAATTGCAGCATTTTTGCAACTGTGTTGAGTTTTAATTTAGTCGTTTGTTTTCCTTATTTTGTTTTTAATAATTTATTTAATTTTTATTTATTTATTTTTTTACTTTTTGCATCTGCTGTCAACGTTCAACAAAGTTTTAAATATTAATTCAAGTTTTGAATTTTGTGAGCTGCCAAAAAAAATCGAAAATAAAAATTTGTTAAAATAAAAACTAAACCAAACCAAAAGTTTGTAGTGTTTGTGCTTGTAAGCAGCAGCACGATGAGGGGGAGGAGGAGGAGGAGGAGGTGGACGAGGAGGAGGTGGAAACGAAACAAATTCTTAACAAGGTTCGCATCAATTTTTAACTACAATATTTTAATGCCTAAAACCTAATTGTAATTTATAGTTTGTTGTTATTTGTTTTGTTTCTTGTGTTTCTTGTGTTAGCTTAGGGTACTAAACGTATCTTTGATTTAACATTTACTTGAGTGTTGCATGTTGTGTTCTTGTTGTTGTTTGTTTGTTGTTTCTTGTTGTTTTAGTTAGGATATTCGGATTGCTATGCTACGCTTGATTGGCCCGTGTTTGTTTTGTTTTTGTTTTTGTTTTAATTTTAGTTTTGTTTTTTTCTCTTTTCTTTTTTTTTTTGGTTGATTTTTGTTAGCACTTAAGTTAATAATATATAACATATGATAATTACAAATATAATAGTAATAATAATAATATATATAGTAAGTAGTATATAACATGTAGCGATTTAAACAATTCATTTTTTAACAGCAGCTGCTGCATTCTACTTTCTTTTTTTTTGTATTCTTTGCTAAGGACTCAATAATAAGGCGCTAAATGTTCTTGTTGTTTTTGTTGTTGTTTATATAAATGTGTGTGTATATGTATAAATATGTGTGTGTGTGTGTTTCACCTTTCTGCTCGTGGGAAACAATAAGCCAAGTACAAAGTATTTTGTTAAAGCAAATGTTACTTTTCTTAAACACTTTTCAGCTGATTTGATTTGGATACCCTTTCAAATTGGGGCATTCTAATTTGATTCATTGAACAAGTTGTGTTTTTCGTTTTGTTCTTTTCTGTTTTTACCATTTTTTTGTTGTGTTTGTTTTGGTTTTTTTTAATTACTTAGCACAATTTGTTACTTGTTGTTTTGATATACATAGTTATTTGCTTTTCCACTTGCCATTTTCTGATTTTCTGATTTGATATACTTGTGCTACCCTGGAAAAGTTGTTACCCTTCTTGTCTCTCACGTTTCTTACGTCATTAATCTTGTACAAACAATTACAATTATTGATCGTGCCCATCTAGCACCGTTAGACATTTTTGTGTTTCAGTTTCTGTTTTTTTGTTGTTTTTTGTTTTTTGTTTTCTGTTTTACTTTTTTCTCTCGTGTTTCAAGTGAGTTAAAAATGATTAAAAATGTTTTGTTATACATATGTGCACATATTATAAATTAAAAGCTAACAAAGAAAATTGCAACTATTAAAAAAATATATAATGGCCAACAATTAAAAAGGCAACGTGTTTGCCACTAAATCAAGTCCAATGAAAAATTAACAGCTAAAATTAAACTATCAAAAATAGTTAAAAAATAATAATAATATACATACATATATTATATATATATGTATATATATATAATCGTAATCAAGAAAAACACCGCTCGATAACAAAAACATAAAAAGAAAATAAAAAATAATAATAAAAATATTGCAAAATAGGCAAAAACAAAAATATTTGACTAAATGCTCCAAGTTGAATAGAATTCGCTTTAGAAAGAGACAACAAGTGCTGCGAGCGGGATGGTAGCTGAGGGAGCGAAAGCTACAACATATACACATATCTGAATGTGTATGTGTGTATGTGTGTGTGTGTGTGTGTGTGTGTGTATGTGTGTTTATGTGTGCCAGTTAGACAGGCGAGAGAGAGTCAACGGCCTGCCGCTAGCCTTGCGCCACATTCACCGCAACCAGGCGGCCTTCCGCTTGATCTTGGTGCGCAGTCCCCGCAATGGCTTCACTTTGCTCTTGGTCGCCACAGCATTGGCCATGGCAGCGCTCAGCGACAGCATTGGCTGCCCGCTGCTGACAGTTGCGACGCCGCCGTTGCCGCCACCGCCACCGCCGCCGCCAGCTGGCATACAGCTCAAACTTTGCATATATAAACTGTTTGCAGCACTGCTGCCCGTCACAGTTGGTGCCACAGTTGCGCTGTATGCCTCCTCGTAGAGCGGTCTCTGCTGATGCTGCTGGTGCTGGATTAGCGCACCGGCGGCGGCCACATTGGCAGCGGCACTACTAAGTAGTGCTATTTTGCTGCCGGTGCCATTTGTATAGACACCGGTGACCTGCTGATGCTGGTAATGCTGATGCTGCTGATGCGGCTGATAGTGGACATCCATCTGCTGCCATTTCTCCTCCTCAACGCTGCGACTGGAGGCGCGCTTGTGCGGTGAGCCATGGCTGCTGCCGCTGCTGCCATTGCTGTGATAGTGCGTCGTTGCCGTCGACGAGCCGCACTCAACAATTGAGGAGCGCGAGAGCGAGAGCAGGGCGTCGACACCATCACGATGCCGCTGCTGATCGGCCAGCTCTTCGGGCGTGATGTTATGACTGCAATCGAGATGAATTAGCAAACACTTTGATAGTTGATAGTTATATTAACTCACTTCTCCTCGCTGCTGTCGTAGGCCGCATCGGAGCTGGCACAATTGCTGTCGGCGCCATGGCCAACGCTGGGCTGTTGCTGCTGGGCGTTTTGCCCATTGCCATTGGTCAGCGGCGTTGAGGCGCCACTGTCCGCATTGCTATTGCCGCCCGCCGAGTAGGTGTGATCCTCACTAGGCGAACTGGTTATCACCGGTGCACTAATTGTGTATGAACAAAAAGTTAAGCAATTCGTTAACGTTCGTTATATATTTATCTCTCTCTATATATATATATATATATATATATATATATATATGGACATGTATTGGTTGGCGTATGCCACAACAATTTCTGAGAATTTCATAATCAATAATGACAAATGATTACTGTATTAAAGCGACTGCGATAAGCAAACAACAAAAACAAAAAAGAACATTCAAGTTTTAAGCCAATTTGCTCATGTTCAATTTTAGCCAATTCAATTGCGCTGCCAAATCAGATCTTTTTTTAAGATCTGCAAACGCTGAAACCAATACTGGAACTAGCTTGAAATTTAATATGCGTTTCAAGAAGTCTTCAAATGCAGAATCATTTGCATATCTATAGAAATGATGTATAAATCTACTTGTTGAATCTTCCAATTGGATCAATGACTTAACCAAGGAGGAATCTTATCGAGAAGATATATAAAGTTATGGCACCAGTCGTGATCGTAATAAAATCTTCCACAATAACTGATTGGATACTGAATCAAGAGGCATTTGCAGCAGTATTCACTGTATCTGGAGATCATTTACAAGCCATTCGGCAGCTGTCTTTGTTCGATACTTAAAGAATTTTGTTGTGTTCTAAATTTGCTCTTGGGATCAACTTTCAGTTGGACTTGTGCCTTATTAAATATTTCTAGTTTTCTATTGCATTTTTCTCACTGCATTTTCCATTTTCCACTCACCCATTTTGATATGATTCACCGAAGGCTTTTGATCCGTGTTTAAGGAAAAGCATCGCCGCCGCTGCGTGAACATCGTCGATGCTATCAGCGCCGCAGTCGCGTGCCAAACGCTCAAAATTGAAGGCACAGACGGGAACAGTGGCAGCTGCCGGAACAGCTCCAGCTCCAGCAGGTTCGGGTCCAGCTCCAGCACTGCCAGTTGCATTCGAAATGACATAGCTGTACTTGCAATTGTTGTTGTTGTTGTTGTTGTTATTATTATTATTATTAATATTATTATTGTTGTGGTTGTTGTTGTTGTTGTTAGTCACATAGTCGCCAGGCAGCTCCTCGTTTAGAACATCAAAGTGCAGCGGCGGCTCCTCAATATTGCGAAATGCCTTGGACAGATTGGGGAACAGTGTGGGATCGAAGCGAGCACGGCTGCCGCCAGCAGCATTGCCGGCTGTTGTTGGCGTGGCGGGATTGCTGCTGATGATGCCACCATTTGGACCATTGGCCAGCGCCAGTGAGCCGTTGGCTTTGGCGGGCGTAACTGGCGTCGTTGGCGGCGGTACAACGGCGGCGCCATCGAGGTTGTCATAGCTGCTAACGATGCCGCTGCCGTTGCCGCCGTTGCCATTAGTAGTGCCATTGGGACTCTTGAGCATGGGGCTAATCTTGTCGACGGCCGAGTTGGGAAAGTAGGGCGATCGATTGAGTGCCTGCATGAGATTTTGACGCTGTTGCGGCTCAACGCGCCACAGCGAACCCTTGCCCATGTTCGGCGCCTTCTCCACCTTCACAAAGCTCTTGTTCAGCGACAGATTGTGCCGCACGCTATTCTTCCAGCCATTCGGTGCCGTCTTAAAGTACGGAAAATGTTGCACGATCCATGCATAAATCTCCTTCACTGGCAGCGCCTTCTCATTCGAGTCCTCAATGGCCATGAATATTAAGGAACTGTAAAACAAATATATAATGTTATATATTGATATATATATACATATATATATATATATGGCATCTGTATAAGCTTACCTAAAACTATATGGCGGCTTGTTATTGGTATGCACGAACGGATCGTATGGCACATTGTTGGGATGCTTTTGCTTTTGAGGCGTGTTATTGCTATTGATTATGTTGTTGTTGTTGTTGTTGTTGTTGTTGTTGTTGCTGCTGTTATTATTGCTGCTGTTGTTGTTGTTGCCATTAGATGTGCTGCCGTAGCTGCCGCTGGTAGCTGAAATGTTGTTGTTGTTGTTGTTATTGCTGCTGCTGCTGCTGCTGTTATTAATATGGTTGTTGCTGTTGCTGTTGCTGTTGTTTTTGGTCATTGGATGATACTGGGGCGTGCTGGTGTTTATCCGCGTCGCGCTGCCCAGCACCAAGTCGAACTCTTTGAGCGAATCCTCATTGTCATAGCTGGCGTAGCTGTTGGGACTACGCTGATTGTGGTTGCCAGTGGCGGATGCCGAACCCGAAACTGAGCCGCAACCGGAACCGGAACCAGATCCATTGTGTGCCGCCGCCGCCGTCGCCGTCGTCGGCGTTGTGGACGGTGGCGGTGGCGACACCGACAGCTGCAAGGCACCAGAACGAGACACAAGCGCACTGTAGTAGGCGCCGGGCGGCAACAATTGTGCTGCACCACCCGGCGGCGTCTCCGGTGAGGCAATATTGGCGGGCTGTTGTTGTGAGCTAAAACACAGACAAACAAAGTTCATTAGCCAATTATTATTATTATTATTATTATAAGGGGAGGGGGGGTCGCACCGTGACCTACTCGATCTAGTATGCCTCCCCTGCTGAGCATATAGCTCTTCCATCAGCCCCAGTTGACGCACGAATGCGAGAATCTTTGCTGGGTTGCGGTCTTCTATGTCTCTGAAATTCATCACATGCATCCCTAAGATGCTGCATCGTCTTCTTCTTCTAGTTAAGGCAACACATTCTGCTAGGATGTGCATCGAGGATTCCTCCTCTCTTTCACGAAACCTAGTTTAGTTAGGTGACTTCTTAGTCTATCATTAGCCAATACAGGCATGTCTAGCTATAAGAAACAGTCTTTGAATAAGCTACTCAAAAACCCCTCAAATGTGTTTAGATAAAGTCCCAATGACAAAGCTAATCTTGACTTAGAGTTGAACTCAGGCTCAGATCTTGTTGAGCTCTGAATTGATATCGCTTAATCTGTGCAACACGCTGCACAGAGAGCGATGATGCAAAGACACAGAGAGTGAGAGAGAGAGATAGACAGAGAGAGAGAAAGAGCTTAAGGATGGATTGGATTGAATGGAATGGGATGGGATTGGAGTGGAAACTCTTGTGCAGCTCTTTGAAGCTTAACCTTGCAGTTGACATTTTGGCATTATAGAAACGTTTACGGGGCAGATGTGAATGAATGAATGAATGTGTTTAATGGAATGTTTGCAACGAGCTGCGAAACTTACATGACATGCGGCTGTTGCAAGCTGCTCACATGGCTAACGAAACTGTAGCCTGACTGCAGCGTTGTGGCGCCGACCACCGTTGAGGGTGACGTAAGCTGTTCGCTGGTGGTGCCAGCGGCGGTGGCGGTGATGATGCTGCTGCTGCTGCTATTGGGCGGCGTTGTGTAGTTAACGGCATCGAAGACCGCCTTGAAGCTGCTGGTTTTGGGCACCGGACTGCTGCCACCGTTGACGGCTGCCGTCGATGAGCCCGACGCTGAGCACGAGCTAAGCGTCGAGTTGTTTGAGGTGGCGGGTGAGCTGACCACAGTTACTGTTGATGCCACCACATGACTATTGCTGTTGCTGTTGTTGTTGTGGTTGCAATTGTTGCTGTTGTTGTTGTTGTTGTTGTTGTTGCTTATGGTGCTGGTGTTGTTTTGATCAACATGAACATTCATCTTCTCACGCAAATATTTCTTGTGCGGATGATGCGTTGTTGTGTTGCCAGTTGATTTGTAGGCAGTGGCAACTGTTGCACTCGTCCCATTGCTGCTGACAAATATCTGTTGCTGTTGTTGTTGCTTGACGCTTGCTGCTGCTGCTGCTGTTGTTGCGGCCATAAAACTATTGCCACGCGGCAAATAGGCGCCGGCAGCAGACGCCGCTGCTGCTGCTGCGGCGGCGGCATTCACTTTGCTGGCTGCTTTATACTCGACAACGGTGGTGGTACCGCTAGGTCCCTTGTGCACCGTAGTGGTGCTATATAAGGCGGGTGGTGCTGTGGTTGATGGTTGCAGCTGCTGCAGCTGCTGCTGCTGGTGCTGGTGCTGCTGCTGATGATCGTTTGATTGCTCATTGGCATCGCAATGCGATGGCAGCTCTTCGATTAAATCGCCAACTAAACAAATATTGTTGCCCACTGTGCTGGTGGTTGTCGTCGCTGCTGTTGTTGTGATTGGCGTCGATTTCAGCGCCAATGCACCACCGCGTTTGACTTGAGCTGTTGTTGCTGCTGCCGCTGCTGCTGCTACTGCTGCTGCTGCTGTTGTTGTTGTTGTGGTTGTTGTCACAATGCCTTTGATCAGATTGCTGTCATTTAGCCAGGACAGCGGACGCAGCTCACCATCGTCGGAGACAGAAGACGCCAGTGTTGCTGCTGTTGCAGTTGTGCCCAAAGCATCGGTTGAGCTCAGTTCGAGCGGCTCGGTGGCAAGCAACACAATGCTGCCACCGGTTGTACCTGTGACTGCACCACCAACACCACCACTACCATTTGCAGCAGCAGCAGTGCAGACTGCCAATGGTGGTGCACCGTTTTGATATGTTGCAAAGCTGTCGCGATGCACGAAAACATATTTTGAGCCGGAGCTCATGTGCCCGCCGTGACCGTTACCGTTAGCGTTACTGTGTCCGTGTCCGTGAACGTGTCCGTTCATTGACGGTGCTGTAGTTGCTGCCGTTGGGCCTGCCACGCTGCGATAACCGTGCGTGGCAGCTGCTGCTGCTGCCACCACTGCTGTTGTTGCGGCTACAGCCGTTTGAAGTTGGCCTCGAAATTGGCTCAAATCGTGTTGTGTTAGCAGCTGTGTGGGATTATCTGTTGACATGCTGCAAAATGACAAGATATAGATAGATAGATGCGTAAAAAGAGAAGAAAAAGAGAAGAAAGAGAGAGGAAGAGAGAGAGAGAGAGAGAGAGAGAGAGAAAAAGATAGAGAAAGAGTTTAATAATATATCATATCATAAATAGTTTAATATTTATAACTTATTGAATTGCTGTTTATTTATTTTTTATTCAAAATATGTTTTTCTGTGGCATGTGGCATGTATACGATAGCATGTCAAATGGCGAGTTATCTATTAAAATTGTATTCAACTGAATTACAAACTGAGAACAACCAAATCGAATTCATGAATCGTTTGAGAGACTCAAAATTCGCTTCAAGTCGCTTTTTGATTTACGTCGTAATTTTTGGCTTGGAATGCAGCAAAAACGTTAATCATGTGGCATACCACCTCCTCTGTGCATTTACATATATATGCATATGTTAGAGGGTATATAGACACAGTAGTATCGTAGTCGGCATACTCGTGCATCGTTACTTGATATCGTGCTCTTGTTGTTGTTGTTATTGTTGCTTGTGGGTTTTATTTATCAGCAATTGCTTATAAAATCGGCCAATAAAAAACAGCACATGTTCAAAAAATTCGTGTTTGTGTTTATCGTTGTTGTCCTTCAATTTCAGTGTTGTTTTTTTTTTCTTTCTCTTTTTTGTATTGCATACCTTAATGCGGGCACTCACTGTACCGCTGTGGATAATAGCAAAGCAAATGCTTCAAGCTCCCCATGGCCACCAAACGGTGGTCACATATGCACATACATACTCACACAAGCATAGATATACACACACATAGTGTGTGTGTGTATATATATATGTGTGTGCGTATTTCTAAGTAAAATGCTAAACGCTTTACGCAATCAACGCCCGACGCAGCCATATTCTATGTTTGTGTTTTGTTTGGTTTTCTTTACTTGTTTTTTTTTTTTTTTCTTTTTGCAATCTTTTTTCAAAACAGAATTTTTATTGCCTTTAATTTACGCGTGTAGTTTTTGCTGTTTGCTGTTCTCTATGGATCGATGAGTGGCTGCGACACCAGCAGCGCAACTTGCGTTCACCTGCTGCTGCTGCTTTTCATATTTTTTGGGCTAGTTTATTGCGAGCGTCAGTCTAAGTTTGTACATGTGTGAGTTTGCCGCTCCATGCTTTCCACCTATATTCGCGCTCCCTTTTTCCATCTATCTATCTCACTCTGTCGCATTGCCATTCAACGTTTGTGTGTGTGTGTGTTTATTGTTGGGATTATCTTATCAGCATTTGCATTCTAGTTGCTAGTTTTCTGTCGCTTAAACAGTAATTTCGTTTGTTCTTTAAGAGCAGGTGAAGAACGGCAATGAAAAAGAGGCGAGAAAGTGGAAATGCACAGAGTATGTACATGTTTCTACATATGTATTTACATATGTGTAAATATGTCTGCATATATGTGCAAATTTTATGAATTATTAAAGAACCTTGGTCGTTTGGATACTCGAACTTTCGCAATTTTGAATTTTAAAACAATCAGACTAAAAATCTTTTTGAGATGAAAACATTTTCTCAAACACTTGAACATACAAAATTTATGAATTGCTTGAGTGCACTCAAGACACCACCACCAGTTGTCAACATTTGAGTAAATATTTGCGGGCAGAGATGGAGACATGAAGCAAAAACACTTTGCCAAAATGCACACGCTAGAAACGAATATTCATTTTTTTTTGTATCCGAAAATAATATATATATTTATATATATTTCGATCTTGAAGCAGAAATATGTCAAAGATAAATTAAGCTCCAATAATAAGGGAGAAATGAAAAGAATACATAAACAAAAAAACACGGCACGCGCTCATCTCTAAAAAAAAAAACATGGTCTAAAAGGTATGATGAGGTATACCACTGTAAATGTATTATTATTTATTGATTTTTATTGGCTACCAACAAAATTACTTTGACAGAAACAAAAACAACGACATTAACACGGCAAGTGCAAAACGAGCGCGCCACAACAAAAGCGAAAAGCGTAAAGAAAAAACAAAAACAACTTAAACGAGTCACAACAAACGAAACGAAGAGAACAGCAAAGCGCAAAATCAAAAGCTTAATAACAACAACAACAACAGTTTAAACGAAGCGCCACACAAAATTATTTTACAGTCGCATACAGAAATAACAGCACACATATGTACATGCATATGTATGTGTGTATGTACATATGTATGTATGTATGTACCTCTTGACAGCTGTTCTTGTTGTTGTTATTGGTCAGCCGCAACACAAACCAAACGCGATACGTTAAAAAAGCTTGCGACGCAATTTTGAAAGTTTGCGTCGTCGTCTTGGCAACTTTTTATAAACAAAATACAACAACGATAATTTGCACACACAGTAGCGTCTCGGAGAGCAGAGCGACAAACGAAAACGTGGTTTGATTACGCTGTCGCCCATTTTTCAATATGTCTTTTTTTTACCTTTGCCATAATTAATTTGCTAAAATAGACGCACACAATACTAAATACACACACACATTTTTATATAAAACATTGCAAATTTGTTCTTACTCTCTCTCTCACACTCAACACACACAGACGTATGCACACAATTTGAGCCGCCGTTGTGACGTGTGCCAAAAACAAAAACAATAAACAAAAAAGAAATGCCGTTTGTGGCTGCAGCCGCTCTGAATCTCTCTCAGTCTCTGTCTCTGCCGTCCGTTCTTGCTATCAACTCGCTCGGCCTTTGTGTTAGTCTCTCTCTCTCTCTTTGTTGTTTATCTGCTTTTCCTTTGCGTTGGTTTTTGTTTGTTTTTTCTTTTGTTTTTGGAGCACAGCACAAGCAGCAAATGGCGCAGTTTCAGTATGAGAAGCCGAAAGCGGAAAGCGGAGCGCGCGCGTTTATTTAAGCCGTCGTTTTGTTGTTATTATTAAGCTTTTGTGTCTCGTCTTCGTCTTCGTCTCCGACCCGAGATTAGCAGCAGACGCTGTGCATGCCCCGCTCCGTCAGCTGTCAGTTTTTCGTTCTAGAAACGTCAAACGCTGCTGCTGCTGGCGTTGCGCCTCTCTCTCTCTCTCTCTCTCTCTCTCTCTCTGTGTGACCTATGAAACTTTTGAATGGCGAGCAGAGGAGTTGACGACGGCGACGGCGACGACGACGCTTTCCATGCCGTTCTCTATGCAGCTAATGTTGACGTGTTTGTTGTTGTTATTGTTGGCATTGCTGTTATTGTTATTGTTATTGTTAATGTCACCGTTAAATTGCCAGCCCTCAGCAGGAGGGGGGCGTGCAGTTCTAACTCTTGCCGTTGTTTTTATTGTTGTTGTTAACAAAAAACAAGGGAATAAAGAAAAAAAAAAAGAGAAGCAAAGCAAAACTTTAAAAGACAGTTGGGCCAACTGTACCTGCTGCTGTCATTGCTGCTGCTGCTGCTGTTAAAAACGCGAATAAAACGCGCGCAATGCTTTGTAGTTGTATAGATGAATCATACACGAGCACAACACACACACAAATGTCACACAGAAGCAATAGCAACAACAACAACAAAATGAACTGCGTGTCAATCACGTTAAAATTAACAACCACAATCTATTTCTTGTTGCTGTGGTGAATGTATGTAGTATTTAGGGATATGTGTTAAATGAGCTGCTTCCTCTTTAAATATAAACTAATAAATACACACACACATATATATATATATATATTTGTAAAATAGACAAAAAAAAATTATAATAATAAGTGTGGGAAATGAGCGAACAGTTTGTAACAAACTCATTTTCATGAAAAGTACAGCGTGTGAGCGAGCGAGAAAGAATCATCATCATCAGTTTGCTAATATGCCTTGTTTACCTATCTCCATTTCAATCGCTCTCCACATAAATAATAACAAATAACAAAACAATTCACGTAACGACAACGGGACAGACAGACCCGAGGCGAAGCGAGAGAGCGAGCTTTGCATATTTCCGGCAGCGCAACAACAACAACAAACAACAGCTGGCCAAGCATTTTTTGAGAGCTTTTTAATGGCGACGGCGTCCAATGACATATGCTCTCTCTCTCGCTCTCTCCCTCTATCTGACTCTCTGGCGCTCTCTTTTTGCCATTGTTGTGTTTGTGTGCGTTGTTGAAATATAAACAAAAATTCTTAAAGTTGATTTTATTACGATTGCGTTTGGTTTGCGGAAAACAATCGAATATAAAATGAATAGATTTCGTTTGTCATCGCACACATGTCAAATGCAATTTTGCATTTCAAATCTATGCAACAAAAGAGCTTATTTAAATATATCAAAATCCTCGAATCTACTTTCATTTGTTTATTTTTCTTCTTTTTTTTTTTTGTTGTTGGTTTTCTTCGAATTTTTCAGTTTATATAATGTATGTGTTTTTTGCTTATGTGTGTAGCAGCTAGTTTTTTATTTAGTTGCTGAACGCTATTCTTTTATGCATATACATAAGTATGTACACACACACGCACACACATACACATACATATTTCAGAATTTTCTCGAGCCTCAGCAAGAAGAAGAAGCAGCAGTAGCAGCAGCAGCGAAGCGACGGCAACAACATCAACAACGAAAAGCTGAACGGCGACCACGCGGCGTATACGTAACCCCATGCATACAATTTGCTGTGCGGGTGTCTCTGTGTGTGTGTGTATATACCTATACCTATATATATATATACATATACATACATATATACACATATATATTCATATATATATATATATATATATAGTGTTTTGTGATGCCTTCAAGTTGGGTCACACGTTTTTGCATTACGTATACGCCTCGTAAGAAGACAGCCACAGTCAAAGAAAATGGGGGAAACAAACACACACACACACACACACATACGAACACACATGCCACACTTTACAGCACAACTGATAAGACAACTAATGGCGAATATTATAAAAATGCGCAATACCAAGAAAAATAAAAACAAGAAAATAATGAACAAATAATTCACAAACCAAAAAAAAAAAACAATAAAAAAAGTGAAAAAACA